CTGTATAAACACCAGGACCAAAAGTGCAATTTGGGGAGGAAAGGATTTCTCTTATCTTACCAGTTACAGTCCATCATTGAGCTATGTCAGGGTAGAAAGAAGCTTAAGTCAGGAACCTGGAGCCTGGAACTGAAGCACAGAATAACACTGTGTACCTGCTTGCTCCCTCCGCTTACACAGCCCACCTGGGCTAGGGATGGCTCTGCCCACAGTGGGCTGGACCCTCCAACATCAACGAGCAATTAAAAAAAAATGACTCACAGGCGTGTCCACTGGTGAAGCTGATAGAGGCAGTTCCTCAAATGAGGCTCCCTCCTCCCAGATGACTCTAGTTGGTGTCAAGTTGACAGAAATGAACCAGCGCACTGCGCACGGAGCCAGTGAGGACCAGCATCGCTCTGAAGCTCCCAGCGTGGTATTTGAGCTGAATTCGTGCAATGAGTGTGGGAATATTTCCCTTGTCTACACAAACAGGAAATCGGGATTAGCTCAGGACACTGAGATCTAGTTCCTGGACAGTGTTACACTGGCATTTTCTCACAGACACTGCATGGCCTATTACCGTCTGTTCCTCACCCACCTGGGCCTGCCCCTCTATCACTGGGCCAGCTATGGCATTAAACCACAGGCCAAGCAATGGTTCAGTGTGTGTAAACCCATCCTTGCCTATAACATAAGCCTGCTCACAGAGGAGACCAATCCTTTGTGAGCAGGCTGGATCTCCGCAAAGGGGTTGAGAGTAACAACATGATCTTAATGCTCTACAAAGAAAGAGCCCTGTGCAACTGCAGATGGCCAGAAGGGGTGCAGGTCCTCAGCTGCCCTATCTAAACCCTCCTCTGGATCTGGAACCCCTAATGTAAAATAAGTGACCCTCAACAGTGATGTCAGTGCACAGATGGCCCTATGGGTGCCCCAATCCCAAGCTCTTTTTGTGACTATAGGCATCTTCCTGAGTGACCAAAGTCCAGGCTTTTACTCCGAAAGCTGCAAGGGCATATGAATTCTCCCCAGGAGCCCTGCCCTTGGTATGTGTGCCAGACCCATCTCCAAAACCAGCTAGGAGTTTCAGCTCTATCTACCGAAAGCATCTCTCTTCCCATAGCCAACCCTTAACTTCTTGGCAAGTATTAGGGCAGTATCCCAGATAAAACTCTGGGCTTCCAAGAAAGACACAGGGATCACCCAATGACAGAGAAATGGAATGAGATCTACATGAACAGCCTGGACATGAGTGGGGGTAATGAAAGGCGAGGGTTGAGGGAAAGAGAGCTTGGGGGAGCGGGAGATCCCAGCTGGATCAACAACAGAGAGGGAGAACAAGGAATAGGAGACCATGGTAAATGAAGACCACATGAGAATAGGAAGAAGCAAAGTGCTAGAGAGGCCCACAGAAATCCACAAAGATACCCACACAACAGACTGCTGGCAATGGTCGAGAGACAGCCCAATCTGACCTACTCTGGTGATGGGATGGCCAAACACCCTAATTGTTGTGCTAGAAACCTCATCCAACTACTGAGGGATCTGGATGCAGAGATCCATGACTAGGCCCCGGGTGGATCTCTGGGAGTCCAATTAGCGAGAATGAGGAGGGTTTATATGAGCGAGAATTGTTGAGACCAAGGTTGGATAAAGCACAGGGACAAATAGCCAAATGAATGGAAACACATGAACTATGAACCAATGGCTGAGGGGTCCCCACTGGATCAGGCCCTCTGAATGGATGAGACAGTTGATTGGCTTGATCTGTTTGGGAGGCATCCAGGCAGTGGGACCAGATCTTGTGCTCATTGCATGAGTTGGCTGTTTGAAACCTGGGGCCTATGCAGGATTGTTTGGCTCAGCCTGGGAGGAGGGGACTAGACCTACCTGGACTGAGTCTACCAGGTTGACCTCAGTCTGTGAGGAAGGCTTTGCCCTGGAGGAGATGGGAATGGGGGGGGGTTGGGGGGAAGGTGAGGGGGACGGGAGGGGGGGAGAACAAGGGAATCCGTGGCTGATATGTAGAACTGAATTGTATTGCAAAATATATTAATAAAAAAAAAATATATACCAAAAAAAAAAAAAAAAAAAAAACTCTGGGCTTCACCCATGAACCATCAGTAGCCACTAGCCATATATGACTGCTTCAGTTATGAAAAATTCATACCCTCAATCCAGCCACACTTCAAGTATGTGCATGACTGGTGGAATGTGTTTAATAATATAAAAATAGGGAAGGTTCCTTTCACAGAAATGTTGTACCAGATGCATGAGAGTATTTTTCATCCTGTTGTTCTTTGGATCGGTTCATTTTTACTGTTTGGTAATGTTGATGCCCTAACTCGACGGGCTAATGTTTCATGAAAAAGCTGAAGGGCACAATTTTGTGTTTATGTTCTTTTAAACCAGACAAGGCAATTTCTTTTTGCAAAAAGTCCACACCATGAGGCCGGAAAGATGGCTCAGTGATTAAGAGTGATCACTGCTCTTGTAGAGGACCTGGGTTCAATTCCAAACACCCACTCCAGTTCCAAGGTCTCCAACACCCTCTTCTGAGCCCCAAAGGGTCCTGCATGCATGTGCTGTACATACACACTCAGATGCACATGCACGCATGCACACTCACACACACACACACACACACACACACACACACACACACACACACACACACACTGAACTTTTTAAAGAAGGGTGCACCATGACCTAAACTGAGCTGTCAGGCACACCAGGGCAGAACTCCCCCATAGTTTTATTCTAACACAGGTGGGCCTGCACCCTCCCAATCTGATGTGGTTGGCTAATTCATACTCGCCTCAAAGGGGAGGGTGTAAAAGCTAGTCAAGTCTCAGGAATGTCCAGGAGTTGGTCAAACAGGCGTGCACACAGTTTCACAATACAGGAGAGTTTTATGGAATCCTGGCCCTTGGCAGGCTAGCCACCTTTGATTGATAGGAGAAAAAACAGTTTCTAATAATTCCCTCTTCTTTATTATACGTTCTCAATGTTTTTCCCCCCATCAAACTCATCCAGCATATGTTGACTTTCTGAACTTTCTAGTAAAAGAAAATTACTGAAATAAGTGATTGGGGATTGTTTGGTTTTGATGGACCTTTGGGCCCCTAGTACAAGGAAATTTCTTATTATCTCTTTAGCATGGCTTAAGGTGAGCCTGTCTTCCTGGGGCGGTCCCTTGACCAGGTGACTGGCCTGGAATGTTGAGTCTCCATCCAGGCCAGAAATCCTCTTCTCTTGACCAGAAGAACCTTTCTTTCTAGGCCCTCACTGCTACTTTAGTCCCCCCTCTAAAGAGGGAACCATAAAATCAGGTAGGGACAGATCAGGGCCCTTCAGACACTTTGGGCATCTCTGGCTTCTGGCAAGAATGAGGCTGTCAAGGGGCCCAAGGGCATTTCTGGCCAAGAGATAAACTGGTTATTTTTCTTTGGAGTCTTTTAACCCTAGACTGCCTATCCAAATCTTACCTCCTGGATTGTCTTCGTCACCCCTGTGGAGGCAACCAGAACTGCCAGATGGAATTGGGGGAACAACCACTCTGGCTTCTTCCAGCTGAACGGGGGCATCAGATGCAGCAGCTGCTAACACCCCTGCAGTGGGACAACCTAAATTTAAAAACATTCTATTTATTTTATGTGTATGGGTATTTTGTCTGCAGTGTATCCGTGCACCTTGTGCTTGCCTGGTTCGCAAAGAAATCAGAAGACAGAGTTTAAGCCCCTGGGACTGGAACTTCAGATGGTTGTGGGTGCTGGGAATTGAACCTGGGTCTATCTGGGAAAGCAATATGTGTTCTTAACCACTGAGCCATCTCTCCAGCCCCGGTGAGCCTCTTTAAGAGACCCCAAAAGTGCATCAGCAGCTTCATGGCGTAACAGCCGTAACAGCCAAGTGTAGAACAGAAAAAAAAGTCCTTGGCTGGTGCTGGGAAAGAGGCGTGAAGGGGAAGTAAAGGCAAGAGTTATTAGCATTACCTTGGCAGGGAGCCGGGAGAAGCCAGAACAGAGGACACTTTAAAGATGTCCAAATCAAAGACATTAGAATCTCCTGATGGGCCCACAAGAGCCTCCATCTATTGGCTCCTCCTCATTTTTCCTTTGGCCTTTGAGGCAGGTCTTCCGAGTGATGAACCCGGCATCTGCTTTCAGGAATGTTGGTAGCTGTGGGGTCGCTAGCATCAGTGTGAGCTCCTTCTTAGATGGCTTCTGAAGACTGTTCTTCTCCCCATCAGCCTGGCAGAGTTTCCTCCCCAGGGCTCGGCCTGTTGACATCTCCCAGCTCTGCCTGAGCTTCTCTGGCCTGGTTCCTGCCTCTGGTGGTGATGCCAGCTCCCACACTGGCCCCTGTGGCAACCCCAGGTGTGATCCACTCTGTCCTGGGCCCAAGGTCCATGGTGGCTTGCCAGGAAGGCAGTGAGAAGGGCCAGCAGCTCCAGTCCAGGTGACCTAGGACCTGGCACCGTCAACCTAGTTTGGGCATTCTGGAAACCACGCTCCATCACGCATGCCACTCTAGGTGAGAACCCAATTTTATGTTCTTTACCACCTGGACCACAAATAAGTCTCACGAGTTGTTTCTTTTTAAATCTCCTGTATAATTCCATGTTCCTGTAAAAGGGAGGAGGCACCGGGCAAGCATGGGAAAGGAGGAAGGAAAGGAAGAACAGGATAGCCACAAGGGCCATCCTGTAGAAGGTCAGCCTGGGCTACAGAGTGAGACCTGGTCTTACCCCTTCCCCAATATAATCAATCAGCTAATTAAAAAGACATGGGTGTAGCTAGAGAGTTTCTCTGTGTAGCTTTGTGCCTTTCCCGGAACTCACTCTGTAGCCCAGGCTGGCCTTGAACTCATAGAGATCCACCTGTCTCTTTTTTTGGGGGGGGGACAATTTGTAGCTGGAGTTTTCTCTCCAGGTTCTGCCAATCCCCACCAGTCCCGGAGCCCACTTATAAAATAAACACACAGACTCTTATATTATTTAAACTGTTTGGCCTAATGGCTCAGGCTTCTAGCTATCTAGTTCTTACATCTTAAATTAACCCATTTCTATTAATCTATACTTTGCCACGTGGCTTGTGGCTTACCGGCATCTTTACATGTTGCTTGTCATGGCAGAGGCTGGCAGTGTCTCTCTCCCACTCAGCCTTCCACTTCCCAGAATTCTCTTCTCTGCTTGTCCCGCCTATACTTCCTGCCTGGCTACTGGCCAATCAGTATTTTATTTATACAGAGTGATATCTACAGCACATGGGGCCTGAAGTGGTGGCATATGAAGCTACTCAGGAGGTGGAGACAGGTGGATTGCCTGGGCAACTTCGTGAGACTGTGTCAAATTAAAGTAACCAAGGGCTGGGGCCGTGTCAATAGTAGAGGCTAGCCCAGCATGCATGAGACCCTGGAGTCAATCTTCACCAGCAGGGGAAAAAAAAAGTATGGAATGGAACATTCTAGATCCATGGTGGGTGGAGCAGAGAGGAGCCACCAGACTGCCTGCAGGCTCCTGCATCTCTGAGGACCTGGGGTCAGTCTCAGTGCTACATGGGTTAGGACAAGGGTGCGCCGATGGATGCAGCTCCTTAGGGCTTTTCCTGCGCTCCAAACCTCAGAGCACCCTCTGCCCAGCTGCTCTGGCACTAGCCATACCTGCCCTCCCCACCTGGCAGGGTACCTATCCAGGCAGAGGCCCAGCCTTGAGCTCACTTGGCTTCCTGTGTGTCCTGTCGGGTGCCAGAAGCGTCAACAGATTATAACTGGCTCCCACTCAGAATCTGCTGAAGTGCTTGGGGGCTGTGTTCCACCAGAATGAGGAGAGACATCCCCAGTCTAGAGGTTCCTGCCATGCCCACTAGCAGCAGCAGGGGGCAGTGTGGCTCTAGAGACTCGGCGGAGGAAGGCAAGGACCTGGTCCTGTAGCTTCCCTTGTCTTCAGACCAGGGGTGGGGGTTGGGGATGGGCTTTTGCATGCTGCTGTCTCCACCTGGTTCACACCTGTCCTCCTAACTCTCAGGGATGGAGGCCCCACACCTGCTCTGGGGCCCTGCACGTGGACCTGTCCAACCTAATGCTCCTGCTCCATCAGTTCGGGCCCAGAGGATTTTCTTCCATCACAGGTAACCTGGCACGTAGGTCGGGTCTCCTGTCTTACTATGATTTAAATGTGATGTGGCCACAGGGTGTGTGTGTGTGGGGCGGGGATCTGGAAGCCAGTCCAAGTAAGCAAACAAGCTGTGCTTCAGGGCAGAGGTGTCCCGTGGGTGCGGTTGGTCTCCAGAGGAACCCAGTTGTGAAGCAGTTTTTACACTGGACCAGCAGTCTCCAGGCTGCATTGGATGGGAAAACCCACCCCAGCAAAAGTGATCGTCAAGAAAGGCCACCACCACGTCACTGCCCCCAAACCCCTCCAGCTGTGGCCATGGGGGCTGGGCTTTGGTGAAACCAGGCCGCCCTCCTTGGGGACAGGTGGGTCACATTTGGCCAAATCCAGAAAGGCAAGTGGGGGTTGGGTGGCTTCTTCCGGGCAGGCAGAGCTGGGGCTGGGAGTCTAGCCCATGGTGCGTCACAGCAGCCCCTCCTCACGAACCACAGGTCTCCAGGATGCACAGCTCTGTGTAGGGTCAGGCCATTTCTACTCAGCTCGGGGTGGGGGGGGGGGCCTGCCTGCCCACCCGGTCCTCCTCCCCAGGGCCCCTCCCCCCTACCACCACTCTGTCCTTCATCCCTTCAATCCCACGCTGGCATCCAGGGAGAGGAAGAGGGCGGGGTACAGAGGGCAGGGTGCAGAGGGTAGGGGTGTAGGGGGGGGTGCAGAGGGGGGATGCAGAGGGCAGGGTGCAGAGGGCAGGGTGCAGAGGGTAGGGGTGCAGAGGGCAGGGTACAGAGGGCAGGTACTTACCCCCACTCCTCTGGTTCAGCTGGAATTGCTTCTGCAGACTTCCTGAGTGGCCGTGAGCCTCGAGTCAGGACTGGTGGGGCAGGTGGTCAAAGAGAGTAAACCTAGAGCGGGGGACACCACGGGGGGCTCAGTGGCTGGGCTACTGCCTTCCTCATGGCATTGCCACGGGGAGCTCAGTGGCTGGGCTACTGCCTTCCTCATGGCATTGCCACGGGGAGCTCAGTGGCTGGGCTGTTGCCCTCATGGCATTACCACGGGAAGCTCAGTGGCTGGGCTACTGCCCTCATGGCACTACCTCCTAATCTAGTTTGTTGGCCATGCCAAGGGCTGTGATCACAGGCCACCGACCATGGCTGTTGGGTGTGTGTGGTGAGGGAGCTGCAGGGTCAAGAGCTGGAGGCAGCCAGAGCACTGGCTGGGGGCTGCTGCAAATGCTGGCAACTGGGTGTTCGTTAGTTTGTTTTTTAAGACAGGGTTTCTCTGTGTGCTGAACTTTCTTTGTACACCAAGCTGGTCTCGAACTCAGAACTCACAACTCAGAGATCCGCCTGCTTCTGCTTCCCAAGTGCTGGGATTAAAGGTGTGGGCCACCACTGCTCTTTCCTTCCTTCCTTTCTTTCTTTCTTTCTCTTTCTTTCTTTCTTTCTTTCTTTCTTTCTTTCTTTCTTTCTTTCTTCTTTTTTCTTAATAGAAGGGTTTATTTGGGGCTTATGGTTTATGAGGGATAGGAGTCCATCACCATCGCCATCATGGCAGGGAGTGTGGCAATAGGCAGCCATGGCACTGGAGCAGCAGCTGAGAGCTTGGCATCCTGAGTCTCCAACGCCAGGATGTTGCAATGACTACCAGTGGCCACGGTAATTGCTTCCTGTTGTCAGGGAAGCTCAGTGTTGGCTGAGGTCACCTCACAGGCCTCCCCTGGGGAGACCAGGGCACCACTGGGGTTGAGGGGGGAGGGAACTCATCTGCCAAAGTAGGAGTGGGTAGAAAGGCCAGAGGTCATCCCTTCCTATCTTACCACCCTTCCCAGCCCAGCTGCTCAGAGAGCAAAGAGCAAGAGCAAGGGATAGGTGTGCACGGGGGTCCTGAGCCACGCTAGGAAGTCCTGTTTCCAACCCTTTCCACTCTGAACTGGGATTGTTGCCTTTCAGGCAATTCCAAGAGGGCTGATGACAAATTGGGGCGCAAAGAATCTGAAGCAGCCAAATAAATCACATTAATGACCATTCAGATAGAATCAGTCTCTGGACTAGAACCCATTTAGCTGACGAGACATTGCTGCTGCCCCCCACCCCTATCTGGATGCTTTCCAGCTGGCCGCCCCTGAGGATTCACGGGATTGCCTCACAGTTTGGAAAGAGGGGACCCACCTGTGTGTCCCTTTTAGCCACAGAGTCCAAGAAGAAGGCTGAATCCATGAGGAAGATGGGGGGGAAATTGGTCCTCAGGGGCCATGGTCCTTCCTGCTGCTCTGTTTTCCACACAGACGTGGACTGGCAGAAGCCAGGAAACAGGTGCATGCAGGGAAATGTGGGAGCCTCCTGCCAGGTCCAGAGTTCCAGGCTGAGCTGGCCATGAGTTCACAGAGACAGGTTAAGGACAGTGCTGGAGCTGGTGTCTGCTGAGGAGACCCTCTGGACCACATCTGGGCCTGTACTGCCCCTCTGCTAGAAATGCCAGATGTGTAGCCCCATCTGGCTGCCCACCCCTCACTATGCCTTTGCCCGTGTTAGACGGTTGTGAGACACACAGCACCCACCTGCAGGCCGCCTCCCACCACCAGCTCACTTTTCCTTCAGTGGCCCTGCAGCCAGACCCTCCATACTGGTAGAACATTCTAGACTCCTCCGTAGGTCCCTGCACACCTCGGGAACCTGCCCTTTGGCTGCCTCCAGGCTACTCTCCTTGGTCACTGCCTCCTGCCCTCCTATGGGCAGCTGACCCCTCTGAGGTTTCTGTCTCCCAAAGCACTTGTCTTTCCCAAGGGGACAGTCGCTAAGTCACTGCAGGGTCCTCCTGCCATTCCTGGACTCTCATCGCTGCTGTGAACAGTGCCAGACCAGAGTCTCACCACAAGGCTCGCTCAGTGTTAGCCAAGGTCACCTTGGGGCCAAGGGCGAGGCACTGGCTCTGTAGTAGGTGTGTACCCATCCAGGACCCACCCTTGATACCTCCATCTTCTGGCTTTTTGTTTGTTTGTTGAGACAGGGTTTCTCTGTGTACCCCTGGATGTCCTGGAACTCGCTCTGTAGTCCAGGCTGTCCTCGAACTCACAGAGATCTGTCTGCCTCTGCCTCCCGAGTGCCAGAATTAAAGGTGTGTGCCACCACTGCTGGGCCAGACACCTCTATTTTCTGCGGCCACGTCCTCTCCCAAGTCCCTGTGCCATGGCGCTGTCTCCTCCCTGATCTCTGCCTCAGTCCCTTGGGTCGTTACCTCACATCAGACTGAAGTCTTGTGGCAGCCTGTCTGAGAAGTGTCAGTATCTGGTGGACTTGTGTTCTGGGCGAGTGGATGTGCTGCAGTGTGTGAGTGATCCCCAGGGTGGATGTGCTGCAGTGTGTGAGTGATCCCCAGGGTGGATGTGCTGCAGTGTGTGAGTGATCCCCAGGGTGGATGTGCTGCAGTGTGTGAGTGATCCCCAGGGTGGATGTGCTGCAGTGTGTGAGTGATCCCCAGGGTGGATGTGCTGGAGAGTGGGGGGTCCCAAGGTGGATGTGCTGCAGTGTGTGAGTGATCCCCAAGGTGGATGTGCTGCAGTGCGTGAGTGATCCCCAAGGTGGATGTGCTGGAGAGTGGGGGGTCCCCAAGGTGGATGTGCTGCAGTGTGTGAGTGATCCCCAAGGTGGATGTGCTGCAGTGTGTGAGTGATCCCCAAGGTGGATGTGCTGCAGTGTGTGAGTGACCCCCAAGGTGGATGTGCTGCAGTGTGTGAGTGATCCCCAAGGTGGATGTGCTGGAGAGTGGGGGGTCCCAAGGTGGATGTGCTGCAGTGTGTGAGTGATCCCCAAGGTGGATGTGCTGAGGAGTGGGGGGTCCCAAGGTGGATGTGCTGTGTTTCAGTCAGGCATCTGCCATCTTCCTTCAGGCCTCCAGGGCAGGGTGGGTTCTACTGATAGTTGCAGCTTGGTGGCAGGGAATAGTGTGGCCTGACTTGGTGGCCTGTGTTCCCATAGTATGTGGGAAGGTCACAGAAGGTGGCCGGGGCTCAGCAGGTCAAGATTCTCCCCAAAGCTCCTCTCCTCTCCTAATGAATGTGCAAATGAAGGCCTTCATTAAAATGGTCGTGGGGTGGGCTCTTGTTGGACCTTTGGTCACAGACGGCCTGAACTTCAGCCTCCAGCTCCACCAGACTGCACTCAGGAGGGGGCAGGGACAGCCAGAGGACTGTTCAGTCACGTGGGGAGGACAGACACTGGGGGATGGTCCCCACCTGTGTCTGGGTCACTGCTGTGGCAAGGACAAGGGGTATCTCAAATGCACCACCGGAAACAGAGCCACTGACTTGGATACTGAAAGGGCCGAGGGCAGTGCCAGTCACGGATGGCAGGAGCTGGCACTGAGTGAGGGGACAAAGGTGTGGATTTGGGTGTCGGTCACGAACCTCCTGATGCTCAGTGGGAGAACTGCAGTCTGTGGAAGTGTGACCCTTGAGCCCGGGGGCAGCGACACACAGCGACTCACAGGCAGATCTCTGTGAGTTCAAGGCCAGCCTGGTCTACAAAGCGAGATCAAGGACAGGCACCAAAACTACACAGAGAAACCCTGACTCAAAAAACCAAAAAACCAACCAACCAAACAAACAAAAATGCACCAAGATGTCAGAGGAGCACTCCACAGAAAGTCAAGCCTGTCCAGCCTCGTCATGGCCATGAGGCTCCATTCAGTGAACAACTGCAAAGTCCCATAAGAGAAGTCATGGCCGCTTCATACTGGATATGTACCTAGAAAATGTGAAGGCTCTTGCTAAAAGAACATAAGCTTAATTTATAGTTTCTAAATAAGCGGAGAGGAAAAAATGCAGAGGTTATACAACATAAGCAGGAAGAAGGGAGCCAGCGCAGGAAGACAGGTGGTGTAAACTCACTGGTAATCACAACAAATGGTTAATCTTACTAAGACATGGTTTATCAGATCGGATTAAAACCAGGAATATCGTTACACATTGAACCGCGCCTTGCAAGAGGTGGGGGAGAGAAGTACAAAGATGGACTACTTAAGTGCCAACCTGGAGGGAGGACCAGCAGTGCGGTGGAGGGAGGACCAGCAGTGCGGTGGAGGGAGGACCAGCAGTGTGGTGGAGGGAGGGAGGACCAGCAGTGTGGTGAAGGGAGGGAGGACCAGCAGTGCAGTGGAGGGAGGGAGGACCAGCAGTGTGGTGGAGGGAGGGAGGACCGGCAGTGCGGTGGAGGGAGGGAGGACCAGCAGTGCGGTGGAGGGAGGGAGGGAGGACCAGCAGTGTGGTGGAGGGAGGGAGGACCAGCAGTGCGGTGGAGGGAGGGAGGACCAGCAGTGCGGTGGAGGGAGGGAGGGAGGACCAGCAGTGTGGTGGAGGGAGGGAGGACCAGCAGTGTGGTGAAGGGAGGGAGGACCAGCAGTGCAGTGGAGGGAGGGAGGACCAGCAGTGTGGTGGAGGGAGGGAGGGAGGACCAGCAGTGTGGTGGAGGGAGGGAGGACCACAGTGCGGTGGAGGGAGGGAGGGAGGACCAGCAGTGTGGTGGAGGGAGGATCAGCAGTGCGGTGGAGGGAGGGAGGATCAGCAGTGTGGTGGAGGGAGGATCAGCAGTGCGGTGGAGGGAGGGAGGATCAGCAGTGTGGTGGAGGGAGGACCAGCAGTGAGGTGGAGGGAGGACCAGCAGTGCAGTGGAGGGAGGGAGGACCAGCAGTGTGGTGGAGGGAGGACCAGGAGTGCAGTGGAGGGAGGGAGGACCAGCAATGTGGTGGAGGGAGGACCAGCAGTGCAGTGGAGGGAGGGAGGACCAGCAGTGCGGTGGAGGGAGGGAGGACCAGCAGTGTGGTGGATGGAGGGAGGACCAGCAGTGCGGTGGAGGGAGGACCAGCAGTGCAGTGGAGGGAGGGAGGACCAGCAGTGAGGTGGAGG